TTTCCCTAAATGTCAAGGCTTGAAATTTTTTGGTTAGCACTTAACCGTTGTTCTGCATCTTTTGTGTTCAGCATTGAATTACAGTGAGGCTTCGTTGTAGCAGGGGTGGGAGGAAGGGAGCACTAAGAAGGTATTAAATGGATTTGTCCTTAGATCTAGATGTTGTAAAAACTTGTGTGAATCTTAATCTAAAAGAAATGGAAAGACTTTTAGGTATTTCTTGGATTGCTAATTCAAGAATGGGGGAAAAAAGGGACAAATATCTACCGGTAGCCCCAACTAATATTTGTTGCAGCAAAGAAAGATGAGTTCTAAACTTAAGTAAAACCTCCAAAACCACCCTCTGCCTCAGATTTCCATTTTAACATTGCCTTTCCATCTCCGTGGATGTTGGAGGAGAAGTGCAGTGCCTTGTTTTGCTGCAGCGTCTGTTCCTAACTTACTGGCAGCAGCTGTACTATGAAAGGTTGCTATGCTACATGTGCACTTAAGTTTATGCGTGGCTATTTTTAAACTGTCACAAGGTAAGGCATGCTTTTGCTTAAGTTGTCTTGCAGCAGTACACACCAAGAATTATTTATGTTCCTCAAAGAAAAGAGTTCTAGTTTTATTTTGAGACTTCATGCACCTCAAGCGAATTACTGTCTTTATTGCTAAAAATAGTGGGGAGAAAAACTGCAGTTTCTTTCAGAATCTCTGACATCAGTAAATTGTTGTTTCTGAGCAAAATAGTATTAGCTTTTGGGTGGTTTTTTTTTGAGACTGGATATGTTTAATTGATGTGGGTTAATTTAATCTATTAATACAACGTTTATGAGAAGTCCTGTTGTCTCTGGGATAGACTACATACTTAGGTATTAAGTAATGTTTAGTGCAGCAAGTTCTCTTAATAATAAGTTTTGTAAGCAGATGGTGGAATTTTTGTTCTAGTAAAAATAGACATCTGACTGTAGCTTTTATTTCTGTGACGCAGAATCTGATTTTTTTTTTCAATAATTTTTTTTTATTTTTAAGAAGAGTTACCAAACATAAGACTGCTTTTCTAACCCTGTTTTTTGTTCATCACTGTACTATAGATCATGGATTTTAGGGGAATGGTAATGTGGTATTGGTTATAATTGTAACAGCTTTTATGTCTGAACTTGTACAGTTGCAGAGATGCTTCACTAATCTCATGCTAACCTAATAATAATTAGCTGTACTGAAAAGTGTGACCTATATTAGTGTAGACCAAACCAAGTACGTTTTAAATGCTTGTAGTGTGCTGCTGTTACTGTGTTTAGCCAAAACCAAAAGATTTGTATCAAAATTCTTCGTTGTTGAACACTGTAGTTCTGAGTCTTACCCTTTATTTTAATTTGTCGTAGGTGTATATTTGCCTTTGTTATGGGAACAGAGTTTTTGTTGGAAAAGTCCTATTGCTCTGGGCTACACAAGGGGCCATTTCTCTGCTCTGGTTGCAATGGAGAACGATGGTTATGGCAATCGAGGTGCTGGTGCTAACTTGAACACTGATGATGATGTTACTGTTACTTTTCTACCGTTGGTGGATAGCGAGAGGAAATTATTGCACATTCACTTCCTTTCTGCTCAAGAGGTAAGAAATGGTTGTGTAGCTGGTAGCCTTTGTCACAGCTGCCTCTAAGCTGCGGCCTCAGCAATCTCTGTAGCCCCGTATGTTTCTGCAGTTCAAAGAATTATAGGGACTGTGCTGTTCTGTTTAATTAATGCTGCTCCCTTCCCCATCATTTGAGGTGATTCTGAAAGGTATTTTCCCACAAATTTGATGCTTTTTTTTATAGCTCTGTAAATTGAATGTAACTTCACTGTGCATGTGAATACAAGTGTATCTTGAAAAGGACCCAGAAATAAGGATTCCGACATATGCCTTTTTTTTTTTTTAAAGGATGCAACATAAATATTGGCCAGTAGTTACAGCATGCTTTACCTCTTTTTCTAATGAAACTCAACTCATTTCTTCTTTAATAACTATGATAAAGATGGGGAACCGCTTCAGTAAAGTGTGTACATGGGGGAAGGGAGGGTTGGAAAACCTGAAGTAATTGCAAAAAGTGGATATCCTGTAGGTAAAGAAGAAAAAGTATGGGCTTTAAGTTCAGAGAGGGCTATTTTTTTCAGCAAGCCACAACGTTTATGTCTTACAAGAGGGTATGTTTCATGTCAAGAATGGCTAGACTCCTAAAAACTGCTTTGTAAAGCCAGAAGGCTCTTTTAGGACTTATCCTCCTTATATATTGTGCCTACCATAAATAATTAGTTGCTCACGAATAATTGAAGTATAGGAACACTATATTGGAAATACACGTCTGAAAAATTTAGAAGGGAAGAATAGCTGGAGAGTATTTCCAGAGCCTTCAAATTTTGGTTGAAAACGCAGTGTGCATCAGTTTGGCTTTCGGAGAGTCCCAGCTGTGGTGTAGTAGTATGCTAACTCTGTCAGCTTTGGAAAGGAACTGTATTGCCCCCTAGCCCGGGTATTTCGGAGTATCACAGGTGGCTTGCTTAAAGTTGCTGGTAACGTTTCAAGCCTCATTCTCAATCCGTTTTCTCTCCCCCAAAGATAGGTAATGAGGAGCAGCAAGAAAAGCTGCTTCGGGAATGGCTGGACTGCTGTGTGACAGAAGGAGGGGTTCTCGTTGCGATGCAGAAAAGCTCCCGTAGGCGCAATCACCCACTGGTCACCCAGATGGTAGAGAAGTGGCTCGATCGCTACCGACAGATCCGCCCTTGTACATCCCTTTCCGATGGCGAGGAAGACGAGGATGATGATGATGAATGATGATGAAGAAATTGAAAAGAAAATTACCAGCGCAGAGTGTCTGACCCGGAGTTAGCGTTGTGCTCTAGCAGTTCGTTGTGGAACGACCCAATTCTAGAGGAAACATGCTGTAAAGGATTTTTCTAACCAGCATGGAGAGAGTCTAGAAGCTCATCTGCTGCGTGAAGAGAGCGAAACGGGCTGGACTACAGTTTGTATAAAAACAAAGAAAAAGAAACAAAAAACAGCTAATTTTATTATCAAGACAGAAAAAACCATTTTTCTTTCTGATTGTAAATCTGTCTATAAATGTACCGCATGTGGTTGTGTAAGAGGTTGTGTAATAGGAAAAGTATACCAGCATCTTAATTATTGCGAAGAAATTTTTCAAGTAAGGGCACTTATGAAAGCACATGTTAGATTGGATATCTCTTCCCTCCAAGATTCTTTTACAGTAGAACTTGGTATTCTACATCACCTTTTAGATGATACTCTGACACATTTCCGTGAAAAGCCCTTTTATGTGAAATCTCACTAGTGCCCAGGTCAGATTGTGAGGTTTTTTTGTTTGCACAAAATATCCACAGCAAGTCGTAAGCAAAAATACATTCGTTATTTTACTAATATTTTAGTTACTGCTGTGCCCATATAATAAAATCTAAACTCTATGGAACAAACTGGAAGAGAAGCTAAATTTTTCATTGAGTGAAATGATTTGTTTTCTGAAAAGTTTTGGGTTTTCTTTTTTTTTTCTTCTTCTAATAGTTAATAGATTCCTTTCAGTATACATAAGAATATTTATTCAGAGAAGTGACCTAAAATACAGGGTTTTTATTCCAGCGAGCATATACTAAACAAAATTGTGTGAAATTTGAGAACTCGGACACGATTGAGAATTTCATATTGTTAGAACTCCGTCTTGCTGTGATACAAACCATGTATCGTTTTATCATTTATTCTTTCATCAACTTAAACATTGCTGCAAATGAAGAAACACCTTTTTAAAGGCTTACTCCTCGGTCATTAAATCTAGTGAGAATACACTTGGCAGTTCTAATTAAAAAGAAGAATCTATGCTAAGGTTGTTTTTAAAAGCACTGTGTTATATATTTCTCAGTATGTAAACCTGGGAATTTCTTGCATGTTGATTGATGTGGCCATACTTAAACTTATGTAAGTTCCTAAGATTGTAAGTTCAGAGTATATTCTCCAGTAGAAATTTTATTATATTTGATAACTTTAGCCATGTAACCTGTAATGGATAAAGTTTATCTAAAAATCTCACTTAAACACTAAAGGTTAATGCCAGTTTTTACATATACAGTGCAATTCAGGTTGTCTTGAAAAGCACTTTTGATGGTGTGGTGGTTGAATAAGGAATTTTGCAGTAGATGAAATTGTTTTAACTAGAATTTGGAAAGAAGCCCCATAGCACATATTTTTATGTAGTTCAGAGCTATGGAAACCCTGAGGAACTTGCTGCTTTTTCTTCCAAATGCTGCTTAGATGGTGTTGAAATGTGCACAACTCCTACATAAACTTGGTGAGGACACCAAAAGTATAGAAATAATGAAGTACTGTATTAACTTAGCAATTTTCCCATCACAGATTCCATTGAGGTTTATTATGAAATGTCGTCACCTTTTTTTGGCCGTTAGATCTCTTCTGATTGGTGCATGCGCAAATTTTCAGGTAAAAGAATGCATGCTTATCTGCAATGTACGTATGACTTACCTGAACTAAACAGTCAGACCACAGATACTAAAGAGGTTCTCTACAAGCATATGGCCCTGTTTCAAGTTTGCTTTCTAAATTGGTTGGGTTTTTTTTTTTGGTCCTTTTTCTTACCTTGCGGTGAAATCCTTTTATACCTCGTCTAGCTGAGGACGTAAAGCTTTTCTGTCAGGG